GAATCTCCTGGAGGCTGCAGAGCACTGCCAACGAGGTGAAGGTCTGGCCATGGACTTGGAGAAGGTGCCAGTGATGAGGCAGCTCCCACTGACAGACAACCAAGTGGGAAGGAGCCGTGAGAGTGAGCTGCTCCCTCAAGTCTGTCACCTGCCTCCCATCCTGATGTTACCTTCTCTCCTCTCACTCTCACAAACCCCTGCAGCTCCCAAAACTCCAGCCCATGCACTGGCACCTTGGGATATATGGTCTGTCTGTCCTCAAAACAACTCATGCACACGCACATGGTCCGGGAGAGAAAGGTGGTCATTTTCTAAGGTAGGACTAGATCAAGAACAATTTGCTCCTTTTGAATATGCACACACACACACACACACAAAATAAATATGATTTGAGGGAGGCATTGTCAAATGTGAAAAACAAGAAGTCCGCAGCAGCTGACCTCTGGCTTTCCCCTCTGCCTGTTGAGCATCATTTCAGGGAGTGGGATACTTATCAGGAGATGACAAAGGGAGAGGCTGTATCTGGGGAGAGGGATGTCCAGTTGGGTGTAAGGTCCTGTTAAAGGACTTGTACCACAGTCCTACACACCAGGCTGAACCAAAGCCAGCTCCAGGTGGAGAGCTGTACCTCACTTGAAGGTCTGTACCATCAAAAGAGCACCCTGAGCCACTCTGCAGATGCATGAGGTACAGCCCTACTGCAAGGCAGTGAAGATAGAGGAGCAGGCAGGCAAATCCCACATTCAAGCTGTAAATCGTGCCACATCTGCACCAAATATCACAAGATATAACGTGGGTAGCTTTTGTGGCTCAGTCACAAGGCTGGCTCCTTGACACCACTGTCGTTTTCACGTTGCCCACACGGCAGGATGCTGGTGCAGCTCCGCAGAGATGCCAGCAGAAATGTAGTCAGGCTTTAACAGCCTCATCACACTGACTTGGATACTTGGGTTGGTTTTTTTTCCCTGCCTACTGACACTGCTGGAGAACATCCCAGGTGCAAATTTTAGTGGGATGCTTGAAGAAAAGAGACTCCTGCAGATGCCCTGACTCAGAGCATATCTCCCAGTGAACTCAGAACAGTAAAGATTTGCAGCCTTGAACCAGAATTGAGAGATTCCATTTCTGAGGGTGTTATTGGACAGGTTGTGAGGACACCTGGCTCTTCCTGAGTTTTCCAAGCACGCTTTTCAAGTTGCAGCCCTACCTCTGCACCTCCTCAAGGACCTGGCATAAAATTACAAGAAACTTGCAGGTCATAGAAAAAGTCCTGGTTTTCCCCATGAGATGACCCATGCATCAGTCTAAAATCCCACATTCCTCCTGCCTCACTGTTTCCTGACCTCTAGCGCTCAGTTCAACTCGGAAATTATGCTTTTCTAGCAGAAAAAAATCTCTATTTTTAATACTGTTGCAGAGTTACCAGACAAACAAAGAAGTTGTTTAGTGATGAAGTGAGCTTATTGTCTGCTCCACAGAATTTCTACAAAGAACCCAATTCCATTCCCAAACTAGTTTTAAGGTCTGAGGCTGGTAGTAAAAAAATTAAAAAATAAATAAAAGATCACATTTTAACCTGAACATTCAACAGTCATGATCTGGAGTAGTTAATCTGGGGTGAATTTACTGCTCTTCAAGACTCATTTACTCACATTGGGTGCTCGCTCTGTGTTCCCACCCCAACCTGTGTGACTGAGCAGAGCTCTGCAGAGCCCTGGCAGGACAGCCCACCTTAGGGCAGCCTCAACATGGGACATCTGAGAGCAGCAAGATGCTCGGAGAGAGAACAAGATGGAAGAAGCTGTTTTTCAAATGAGGTTAGTGCACAGAGGGATGAGATAGCTCCTGTCTTCAGTGCTCCTGTTTGTTTCACTGGACTCTCATAGCAGCTGCCACAGCGACTGGAGCAACAGCATCCATTCTGAGACAAGTGCAGGCAGGACTCATCTGCCTTCTTCTGATGGCTAGAAGACCTGACCCCCCTGTCTGTCTCTTATTGGAAGGAGGTGCCTCATCCCCATCCAGTGACGACTCATTTAGAGGTGCTGGTGTCTCCCAGGTGTCCCTACATGGAACTGAAGGCTACTACCTCAGAAGAAAATGCCTGATTTCTAGCTGCCTAACATTAGATGAGACCAGCCCTGCACTGTGTCTCCCCATGGAGAATCTCTGTGGCCTAAAGACCTTGGATTCATTCCTGGATCATCTTGACAGACCTTCAGTGAAGTCTTTTACCATGGTTTGAAGAACACACTATGCAGTGATTTTATAGACTTAAATGCCAGGCAGTGATATATTGCCCAATGGAGTGTCATATAAGAATCATAAATCACAATCTTGCAGGAGCCTATGGATGTTAGACATGTGAATATGCTGATTTGGTATCCGTGGTAGTTTGGCATGTCTCACATCTTTGTCTTTTGCCCAAAATAGATTAGCTCTTAAATATTACTCAGCACTTGGAGTCCTGCCACAACACAGAAGACAGTGGAGAAAACACCAAAAATGTGTCCCCCAGTGCAAAGAAATATTGAGATAAACTTCATGGGCTTTGTTCAGTCTAAAAGCAAACCCCTTGTCCGTGGTGGTGGTACAACAAGGCAGAGCGAGGTTATTTGGCTGGCGGTAGTTGAGGGGGAGATTTTAACACGTGCACTTGAACTGAAATCTGAGCACAAAACTGCTCAGCTGAGGTGGGGACTGTCACCCTTGCTGGAGCACTTCTCTCTCCTGTCTACATGTCCAACTGGGTTCCCAGTTCAAACTGAACACAGGAAATCTTCTATCATGCAATAATTCCAGAAAAAACCAAATGATATAGGGCACAATCCTAATGAAAGCACCCCTAAGGTATTTGTTACAGCTGAAGTCCCTGCTTTCACAGCACAAATAGGCAACAAAATCATGTCGCAGACAAAGACAAATCTAGGCATTTGCAGAAGCAAAGAGGGCGGTTTGCCTGGAGAATGCATGGAGGTGTCAATCACTCGCACCAGCCAGAAGTGGGAGAGTGAATTTACCACAAAGAAGTTAGACATTAACATTATGGTACTGTTCAAATAACATTTAAATTTACAGGTAGTTGAAAAGTAAATTCAAAGGCAAATCCATTCTTTTATGTCCATAGACAACCAAGATAGTTGGATTTCTTCAGATAATAAAAGCCTTTTATCCACTTTGGAAAGCACCACACTATCTGATGGCTGTTGGAAGAGGTGGTACATGAACAGTCTGGACTCCCACTGCCCATTCTCCCACCTTCCCAGGGATAGGAAATGTGCTCTGTGGGGCTTCCAGCAAAGCCAGTGGGAAAGGCGTGAAAATCACCAGCCCATTTTCAGAAGAACAGAGCCCCTGAGACTTTTCAGCTAAAGAAAAGCAGATTTTATTCTTATCCGGGAAGGAACTGGGAAATGTGTATTGTACAGAAAACTGCTTGGAGGTAACTCAAATGTCTGAGACAAAGAGGCAGGTTTTAGGGCCCTGCCCGAGGCTGTCCATGTCCTTGATGAAGGCTACCAGGACACACCACTCTGTAGACCAGGCCTCTACTGGGGCACACTCTCCATCTCACCCTAAATATACTGTCAGGCCTGATGTGATATGACATGACTGCAAAACTCCTTCTGGAGGGGGAGGGGAAAGGGAGACCTTGTGTGAAATGCCATCCACGGGTCCTTCCTTGAACCATTTCAGTTCCCAGCCCACCTGAAGGTCCGTGGTGGTTTTCTCTGCTTTCCTCCAGAGGTGCAGTGCCTGGAATTGCCGGGTATTGTATTACAAGTCCCACGGGTGCTGCCTCAGCCTCAGTAAACTTTATTTAAGCACACACAGACATACACAGACAATATACATATATTTGTTTCTTCTCTGACAGTTCTACAGGACCAACACTGCTTTGGATGACACTCGTGGAGAATTTGAAAAAGTGCAGGAAAAGTACGAAAAAAAAAAAAATAATAAAGGTCTTTTAATAATTTGTGAGTCACGGTCATCCACAGAAACAACACAGGTGAGTTCCACCAGGTGAGCACATGGACACATCTCCACATACAGTACATTGTGGCTATATAGGTATCTCCACATACATTGCGTCTATAGGAATGTACAGCAGTCTCAGACGTCAGGAGGACACAAAACCAGACGAGCACTGGCATGGCTCCCCGTGTGGCACCCACCGCCAGCGCGGCTCGCCCAGGGCGTGGGTCCCAACAGAAAGATGCTCCAAACACAAGTCTCACCGTACGCTATAAAAAACTCACCAAACAGGCAACAGCGTCATAAAACAAACATTCACCTGGGGTTTTGGTGACCTGCTACCGTGAGTCAGATCTCACAGCTTTTGTGTCACCACAACTCCTGGGATATACGGTTACTTATCTAATATAGCTACAACTGTGTCTCAACATATATTTTATATACAGTACATATACACAGAACGTACACAGAGCAGTATATGTATATTTTCGTGTTTTCATGTTTGTACATTATATCACATTATATGAACACATAAAATATATGTTTTCGGACCTAAAAAGAAATAATTTTATAAAATATTCATAATACCCACCCCCCCAAAAAAAAGCCCAGAAGTCAAACAAAAGAAATCCATAAACACACTCTTGCAGCATTACCTGCCTGCCCGGGGACAGCGTTACGCTCCCTCCCTGCCCCTTTAGAAGTACAGCAGCACAATGGTGGTTCGTGACCATGCACCCAGGAACACACAAAGCAGTATAAAATGTTGAACTGCAAAGTCAGAGCGGAGCCTGGAGCCCGGCTGTCCGACCCTATGCTCTCCCACCGTCTCCCTTGCTAGGATTTAAAAGGTTCTGCCAGGAGCACAGTATTTTACATGCAGCAGTATGTGCTAGACTCAATCTACTGACTGCAGTCCAATACTGTTACCTCATAGCACTTAGAACCCAGCTTCTGCATTATAGCTTTTTTTTTATTTAAAACAATCTTTTTTATTTAGCAAAAAATTGTTTCCACTGTACCCTTCGTGTGTCCTCTTCCTAATGTGACAAACCCGGAGGAGATGAAATTATGAAGATCTGGCCCTCCACTTCGATAAATATCCTTTCCATAGTGACCTGTCAAGGAAAAGAAAACATCAAACCTTAATTCAATGTGCATGTGTATATACACATTTATATGCTACACAGCCCCACTGTCACCCTCATATGAGTACCAAGGACCCACCACATGGTTACATTATTAATGGCAAGCAGAGGCTATAAAGGAAGGTAGTAAATATAAAATGCCCATCCATGAATCATGGTTCCCATCTTCAACCTGTGACCTTTAAGCACTACCACAATATAAACCAGTCACAGCCAGGGACTCACATGCTGCCAAGAGAGGGACACTAATCTGTTTCAAAGAGCAGAGAGAGTAAATCACAGAATCATAGAATGGTTTGGGTTGGAAGGGACCTCAAAGACCATTGAGTTCCAACTGCCCTGCCATGGGCAGGGACACCTCCCACTAGAGCAGGTTGCTCAAAGCCGTTGCTATAGCTGCATCAAAGTCTTACTGCTTTCTTGGCAAAGAATTACAAAGAAGAACAATTGCATATTTTGACAACTGCCAAGGAATGAAGAATCCCCCCGATAGGGGATCCACTAACATGCCAAACCAAACACCCCAGTCTCTGGGAAATCTGACCATCCCTGGCTCAGGTTCAGGTTTGCCAGGAGCAGCACTCCCAAGGACCTGGGCTCACATAAACCTTTAAGACTAAGGAGCTAAAGAAAATCAGAAGCGATGTGGCTTTGATTTTTCTTGATTCCAGCCATACCCCTGAGAGCATTCAGGTCTCCTTGGTAGAGACTTTGCCTCAGCACAAAAGCAAAGGTGCAAATTTCACTCTGGGCCAGGCTGGACCCAAGTCCCCGGTGACAGTAGGATAGCAAACTTTGTTGTTTAGCTTTGATTTGCTCTCGTCCTTGAATGGCATCCCTGGATAGCTTCTAAAGTGCAATAGTCTTCCGCAGAACACTTCGTAGGAGCTTTCTCAGTCCATGACAACAGAGTTCAGGAGACACCCAGCTTTTTAATATTTTAATACATTAAAATAAAGAAAAAAGCCTTCTGCCTCCCTTTTACCATGCAGAGCTCTGAAAGGAGGACACAGATAATTTTTCAGATGCTCTTTATTATCTCATCCCATTTGCATGTTGTTAATTTTTCTATTCCTTTTATTTTAGAAAGAGTCAAAGATAAGATAGTTGAGGGGGGAGGGAAGTAAGGCAGCCTCAGGGGCCAGGGACACCGCTCTTTCCCTGTTAAGTCTCCATGTCCTCTGTGTCTTTCTGCACAAGCCCATGATGCTTCCCTGTTCCTCTGAGGCAAGGTGGCTGGAAGTCCAGCAGGAGAGATGGTCCAGCAGGAGATCTGAGCCAGGAGCTACAGGGAGGGCCAAGAGGGCATTGGGGATGCAGGTGGAAATGCAGCTGGGGGCCATGTCCTGGCTGGTTCCTGTTGCCTCTGACAGATGCTACAGCCCTTTACTATTTTTCAAACACTGAGGCCAAATGCCATTTGTTCTCATACACTTTCAGACTGTCCGTGAGAACTAACAGGAACAGAGACTATGAAATCTCATCAGTTCGCAAACTCTTCTTTTTTTCCTTTTCAGCCAGTCATTCTCACCCCAGTATCACGGTGGCTGCTCCTGATTTCACAGGTCATTACTGCTGTCACCAGAGTCCACCTTACAGATGAATTCACTGATGGAAAGCACCCCCCACCAAGGTATAAACTGTCCCCAAACGTCCCGCAGTTTTGTCCTGCAATGGATCTGAGAAGGCTCCAAACCCCACTCCCTGTTCAGGGAAGACACCAGCAACCATCTGGCCAGAAGAGCCTGGCACAGACTTTGCCATGGCATGAGCATGTTGGAGATCCTCAGAGGAGGCCCACAGATGGCAGGCAGAAGATACTGAGACTTCTGACAAATGTCTATTCCTATCTAATAGAAGAAGCAGCCCACTCCCTTCCCTCACATATTTTTTTCTGGTCAAGGTCAATCAAGTGCTCCTTGTAAACATCTCAAAACACATATAAAGTGTTTCTACAGGTTTCAAAGTGTTAGCAGCAAGACAGTTTTCTTCTTGCACTTACAGTAATGCGAGGTAGTAGCAAAAACCTTCATATTTGGAGGCATCTCAGTTGGCTGAAAAGAGAGTTTCCAGAAAAAAGAGAGAAGGATTTTCTGCTTCCACGGGAAAGATCATGGGATCTTGCTCTCTTCTCTCTTCCTACCTAGCTCTGGCTGCTGTGTTCCTGGACAAGGGTGGCAGACCTTTGCCTCTGAGTCCCTGGAAATACATTCTTGCTTCATGAGATACTTGTTCTTGTCCTGAGAAGCCTGCAGACGTGGTTTGTGGCTGCAACGCCCAATTTGCTTTCTTTCTCTCTATCACTTTTCTAAAATGTGCTGCCTTTTTTCTTTCCAGTAAGCCAATTTTCACTCATATACTGTCAATTTCTGTGCTCTCAGGGCCAGCTGCTCTTGGTGACTGCCACTCTACCAGTGCTATAAATTTGCCATTTTAAACAAGGATAAAAAAACCCACACAAATATGTGCTATTACCTCTAGCTGAAATCAGCTGTTTTTTATATGTCCCTTTGGAGGATCTGTTCAAGAGAGAGATCAAGAAGGGGAAGTGTATATATAAAAAAAAATAAAGCAAATATTTACTGGCAGATTGAAGACTGTTCATCAGCCATTTGCTCTCTGAACCTTCCTCTGCCCCTTCTTATAGTAGTTAAATTAAAACATTCCTGTGTTAACAACCCATTAGCATTTGAACAGGAGTTATGTTTTCCCACAAGAAACTTGAATTTCTCAAGTAGAATGAGTTTTGCCTTTTTTACAGATACATTATAGGATGCTGTGTTTGTTTTATATGCTTTTTTTTTATTCCTGCTGACTTGTGATCATTTCTCTTGGCTTTGCAGTGTAAAAATACTGGTATAAAGCTTTTACTTTTAGAAGCGCCTTGGGGGCTGCTGGTGGGCCAAGCTCAGGTGCTGTTTTCAAAGACACTTTTTCATAATCACTTCTTGACTGAGATGTTTCACGCTGGCATTGAATGGTCCCTTATACCTTGCCAAAATGCATGTGTCCAGTAGCCACAGCAGAGCTAATGAAGATCAAGGGTCAATTTGGCCACGAGCTGAGCAGCTGATGAAGGTGCCTATCCCGTGGGCTAAGAAGGAGCCCCAGAACTCACCCAACGTGTTCACTTTTAATAGGCTGAAGCTGGGTGTTTCCTTCTGCTCTGTGGTGAGGGAGATAAAAATGGCCTAATTCCTTGAAAAACAAGCACAAATGAACTGATTTTCATCTTGTTTCAGAGTTTTGGGATTTTTATTGCCAGTAAACACCCAACCAAACCAACACTGCCATTCCAGACAGAAAGGACCTTTCAGAAACCCTGCAAGGTTCCCTGGAGCCCTTCCCGGTGCTGGGAGCTGCACTGGCCCTTGGCAGGGCTGCCCTCAGGGACAAGGGTGGAGGCACCCAGCTCTTGCAGAACCCCAAGCACACAATAAAATGGAGATCTCTGGGCTAGATGGGCTGTGTGAATGAGGTGGGGGACAGTTTGATGGCTATCTTGTACCTGCCATCTAGATGCATTGTTTCCATTGATCTCCCTCCTCCCCCATAGAATTCATAGAATCATAGGATTATCTGGTTTGGAAGGGACCTTTCAGATCGAGTCCAACCATCAATTGAACACTGCCAACTCCACCACTAACCCATGTCCCTCAGCACCATGTTTACCTGTCTTTTAAATACCTCCAGGGATGGCAATTCCACTACTAATTCCACTACTGGGCAGCCTGTTCCAAGGTTTGACAATCATTTTGGTGTGGAAATTTTCCCTAATAACCAATGTAAACTTTGCATGATGCAACTTGAGGCCATTTCCTCTTGTTCTAACACTTGTCTCCATGTGAGATCAGAGCAAAGCTGCCTTCTGGTGATGCATTGCCCTGGGAGCACACACAAGACATTTCATGGGATGCAGCCACCAGGGAGCTGAAACCCAGGACCCAGAGGCAGCACCAGAGACCTAAAAGAAGTCACATTGAGCAATAGCAGCAGGTCAGTGTAGTGAGAGAGTCAAGGCGGCACTGCTCGGCACACTCATGTCCCCAGGCTCCCAGCATGCACTTTCCCACTTTTATAGCTCCCACTTTGGGTGAAATTAGCTGCCGTCTGCCAGTTTTCCATATCCAGGTGTCCTACCCAGCTAACTCTCTCTGGGGCTGCCTGGTAGCTGTGGAAGATCACCACCAGGGTCATTGTCCGACCACCACCCAGCTGGCCAGCAGAGCAGCTGTGTCCCCTCCTGGCACCTCTGTGTCCCTGTTTGCAGAGCCCAGGGCCATCTCTGAATGAAAAGTGCCAGATTTGGTTACAAGGGAGTCTCACAGCATGCACTGCTTCCAAAGCAAAGCAACCATCATGCTATCTCTTAATACAGTATTTCTCTAAAGCTTTTGCATCTCTATTTCCCATGGTTAGGGTAAAATTTAAAATGTGGCATCCAAGCACTGTGTCTGACTCCCTGGAAGAGGCTTCTCCTGCTCTCTCACTCCCTGTTCCCATTTGCACTCATCCCCCTGTGCTCTAATGCATGTAAACCCTCAGATGCACACAAGCTCACAGGCTTTTTCATTAAAAAAAAAGAACAGGACTCCAGCAAGGCTCTGTGTTACTAAAGCAAATGACAACTAACACTTACACCACTTAAAATTTCCAGAATAAATTGAAACAAGGTGAAACATGACTTTTTTTTTCCCCTCTCCTTTGGTTGTAAGGCACAGCAAAGGCAGAGAGTAGATGAGTGTTTTGCCTGGCACACAATAAAGGCATAATCTTTAGGGCATACAGCTCAGAGAGGGAACATTTCATTACAATGGCATCCTGCATAACACACATATGGAACAAACTCAGTCACAAACAGCAATTACAACCCCAGCTCTGATTTAACAGAATTATTAGAGCTGAACTAAAATGCTGCTATCCACCTCTCGGAAACGTTATTACCGAGCACGGCTTACATCACCCCGAGA